GTAGGGGGGACCCTAGGAATGATCAGCTAATGGGAGAAGTAGTAGTGATATATCGGTGAAATGTAGGGGGGACCCTAGGAATGATCATCTAATGGGTTGGCGGTGGCATTATTAGCCTAAATAGGCAAGGTACACTCTGACTAAACCCTAAACCCCAAGACTCTCAGGTCTTGGGACTGGAGTGCCTTGCAGCTTCAGATGCTCTTCACGCCTTTCGGTGGCGTGCAGGACAGAATTTCAGGTCTCTCCAAAGGGGAATGATCCAATGTACATGAGCTATGGTCTAAACTCCTTCAAGGGTATATCGGGGAGTATTATCGGAGTTATTAAGGAGTTATAAGGAGCTTGAACTAAAACTTATATATATATATACACATTCCTTATAAAGCCATAGAAAATCCATTCTTATGGGGCCCCCAAATCAACCCTTGGGAAGCAGAAGCCCTTTTACACCGTTTCGCAGTGTTCGGCTTTCGAAGGCCATGCAGCTGGGCAGTGACGGCCGTGGAGGGCGCCGGGACCTTGGGTTTAGGGTTTAGAGGTTTAGGGCTTAGGGTTTAGGGGTTTAGGGGTTTAGCCGTTTGGGGTTTGGGGGTTTGGGGGTTTAGGGTTTAGGGTTTAGGGGGGTGGTGGCCGGTTATGATGCGGATGCAGGCCCTATATTGGGAGATCATATGGGCTAGTGTCTAAAACTCCTTAGAGGGGCAGGGGATCTTTTACGGGAGCTTTATAGGGGTTATTGAGGCGGGATACTAGGAGTTAAAACTACGGCTCGTATGGGACCTTCCGGAGCCTGAGACCTTAAACTCTAAACCCCAAACCCTAAACCCCAAACCCTAAACCCCAAACCCTAAACCCTAAGCCAGGGAAGTCTTAGGGAGTCCTAGGTTCAGCGGCTTGACCGAGGTCAGGCAGTTGTTCGACTTGAGGAGCTGGCGCAGCATGCAGCAGCTGCAGTGAAGGGCCTCAGAATCTTGGAAACAGTTAGGTTTAGAGTTTAGGGTTGTCATAATACTAGTCATAATAATAGTAAGAATCAACTGAAGAGTAACAGTCATAAGCACTAGTCATGATATTACCCAATAAATCACCATATTTGCGGCTATATAGGGAATACAGGGGAATGGAGAAGGTCATGGACACTACAATGTTATTTAGCCTTTAGGATTTGGGAATATTATCATTTAAAATGCAGGATAGCACATGGAAAAGCAAATTGATACTGCAATAGAAACTACAGTGATTCAGGACAAGCTGGCAAGCCCTGGTAAGGTGCACTTCCAACAGCCTCAACCGGACGGCACAATGCTGCAATGCAAGTGCGCCTTGCACACTTGCAAAGCTCCAGCGTGCTGTTCAACTTTTTCATATGTAGCCCTAGTTTCCAGTTCAATTTCATTCGATATTCCATTTTATAGGATACTACCCCTGAATCCTGAACCCTAAACATTGATTTTTTCATAGGGCGCCAAATCTATCCTTGTAAAAAATGCAGCAGTTTTCCTTTTCTTCCACGTTTCATCCAAGTTGACAGGCATGTCCTGGGTCCGCATGAGCAGGCTGGCGCTATCTCTCACTGGTGGTTAGTAGGGAATAAGGGAATCTACATATATATATATACATACGTATATGTATACAAGTATATATTTATGTATGTTTATATATCTATATATACATATATGCACGCGTGTATCTGTGTATATATATATATATCTGTCTATATGTATCTGTGTTTACATACGCACACACACACATATATATATATGGATTACATAGGCATTATATTCCCTTATTCGCAGCTCTTGTGCCCCGGCCCCGCTTCACTTTGGAAGACTGTGCAGGAATTGCTGGCGCAGGCGGCAGAGGCCCTCAACATGTCGTTACAACTTGCTGTGCAGACCACAGAGACTGCAGGGACTATAATCCCTATATAATCCACTAACCCCTAGGGAGCAATGGACCGCAATTGGAAGGCTGAGAGGCTGCGCAAGTTGGCCGAAGAAGAGGAAGCTCGCCAGCGCGAGGCGGGCGGCGGGCATTGTGGCACAGTGGATTGATTGCATATCATCATATCCCGTGTCCACGAATGAGCTACTTAGTTACTTGAACCTATGTGCATTTCGGCGCCGCTATTTTCCAATTTTCCCAAACCTTCCGAAAGCTCGCGTCAAAATTGTGCTTCAGAGGCAGCCGCGGCAGAGGCTGAGAGGCTGCGTCAGGCAGACAGCACCCTGTGCAAGCTGAGACTCTGATATTATCAGCAGTATTCATTTTACTATTCTTACTAATATTGCTGATCTTGCTAATCCTGTTACTGTGTGAAGCCAGGCGGCGATCTTTGCCAGGCGGCGCTTCATTTGGGAAGCGGCAAACGCCGACTTCGCAGCAGCTCTTCTAGCACAGGCGTTCATCGCCCCCTTTGAGGAGTCTAGCCCCCAAACCCTAAACCCTATATAACCCTATATAGCCCTGTATAACCCTATATATCCATACCTAATCCCCTCTATAAGCCCATCACCTTGCATCTCCTTGTCGTGATCGTTGCAAAACCCTTCAGCTGGGGCATTTGTGGATCAGGCTTTCCCAGGAACTTCGCCAACAGCGCCGTAAAGCCTTGACCCTCAACCCCATCATGTAGCGGTTTAGGGGTTTAGAGGTTTAGGGTTTAGGGTTTGGGGGTTGGGGATTCAGGGTTTTAGGGGTTTGGGGTTTAGGGTCTAGGGTTCAGAGTTTAGGGTAGGGTTTAAACCCTCAATCCAAGCAAACCTTACACCCTAAACCCTAGATTAGTGCGGAGGCATCGCAACCTGAAGATGGCGAGCGCTGCAAACGGCTGCAGGCCAATTGTTTCTCCGCATGCACGGTCTCTTGTAATATGCTGCAATCATATGGGAGTTTCCCAAAATTTAGGGTACCTTCTGGGAGAGTCCCCCTATTTACTAAACCTAAACCCTCACCCTAAATCCTAAACCCAAAACCCTTAAGATCCTTAAGGCAAACCAGCCAAGGCCGCTGCAGCTTCGCTTAGAGATGCCTCTCTCAGCAAGCAGCAGAGGCGGATGTTTCTCGCCTTGGTGGAGGCAAGGAACCTACGTATAAAGGGATAGTGTTCAGGGTTTAGGCTTAGGGTTCAGGGCTTAGGGTTGAAAAATAAAACAGAGACTGAAGCGTCGGGGTAAAGGGGCGCGGCGTGCTATAATATCAAAAAGCTTAAAAACATTAAAGCATCGAATCGGGGCGATTCTCGTTCAATGTCTTAATTGTAAACCCTAGCGCGCGCCC